AGTAAATGCTAGGGCATTCTTGAAGGAACAGGATATTTCTAAAAAACGTGGCGTGATACTAGTCACGTGACCTCGCTAACGCAACAGTATTATAAGTATTTTGGGTAGAAGACTATTTCATAAAGTTTAAATTGCATCCCTAATATATTAAGTTTCCAAGTTTGCAATAATATGAAAACCTACAATAGTATCATTCACAAAAAATCAACTAAGAATTGTAATAAAAGTGTAGATCCGATACTGACCACAACTGAAGAAGGCATATGAATGTCTTGATTGGGGATGTTCAAAAACAGAGCATGCATCATATTTACATATGGATTAGTAGATGGAAATATTACCATCAGAGTAGATACCACATGTGTTAAATGTTTACATTTAGATGACAATATGGAAAATCCACATCAGAACATATGAAATGAAATGTTTACATTTGAATTAAGAAATAATATAAAATGTGTAAAAGTGTTAACGTTTATATTATAAGAGGAAATGTTCCCATCTGAACATGACAGAATGCAAACTATGTCACAAAAAATGCTAAAGTAATGTAAAAGACAAATGCACAGACACACACTAACTAATTTACAGTAGCTCAGTACATGAGAAAGTCTTAGGAAATTTTCTTTTTAATTTAACAGCGAAGGAAAATGAAATTTTATTGGAGGGTGTCAGTTTTTTTTTTAGATTCAAAAATGTTTTAATTTTATTATATAATAAAGAAAATATATATATATATCAGTTTAATTTCAAAAGGAATGAAACATCTTAAACAGTTAATTATTTAACCCTAAAAATACTGATCGGATTCAAGTGGACTCCTCATGAGATTTACAAATACATTTTTCTAAGCTAGTTATGCACAAACTTGCTTGAGGGTTCATGACTTAATTTGTCACAAAATACTTAATATCATACAGTCTAAACAAAAAAATCATTAAATTGCAATTAAGATTAATCTATTAATTACTGCTGAATTTCTGTGTATTTTACATAGAAAATTAGTGATATCATCAATATTTTTGTTCAGTTCTTCACACTTAGTGTTCTAACAAGTAAAAACTATAATTACTCAGTATGATTCAACATATGGATCATATCAGTACTGAACAGTATGTAAACAAGTCAAGAATTTGAGAGTCAATTTTAAATAGCAGAATTTTTTTATTACAGTTTATCCTAGATGTCTGGAGAAAATATCAAATGGCTTGTAACATGAAATATATTTTGAGCCTCTCACAATTCAAGATAAAATCGATAATTGATTTTATAAAAAATAAAAGCTTAGTGAGGTTATAACAAGTTTAGAAGTACAAACCATTTCCAGACTTCTTGATCGTTCTTTTGTTTTCCTTTCTTCTTTGCTTCAATTGTTTCAGTTTTAATTTTCATATCTTCTTTTCTGACTTTCTTAGAGAGCTAGAAATATTAAATATGTAAAACTGGTTTTAATTATACACCATAAACAATTAACTTCTTTAAATTTCAGATCTTTAGATTAAGACATTGAATTGAATTACCAAAGCTTCTCCATTTTCAGCTTTTCTCTTCTTGTTTTCTGCTTCCTTTTGGACTTTATCTGTTTTCCCTGCTTTTATTTTAGGTTTCTCTTCTGTGTTGCCAACCTTAACCTTCTTATTTTTTATTGTTCTGTAATAAAAATTAAATAAATTTTTAATAATAGCTGAAAATGATTATTCAAAGTCATTTGAGTCTTCTAACTTACTACATGTTTAAGTAACATGTTCTTACTGATATAGATGAAAATGCTGCTAGTTTCTCCCATCAAACTAGTAAAGAATATATCTTTATTTGGCATTTGTGTGTATTAATTATACTTTTATAGTTTTTATACTTTTTGCATGTAGTTATTAGCATTTAAACAGGTTGTAGAATGGTCAAAAACTTATGATGATCCTCTATCTTAGACAAAGGTTACACAGCACAGCAATTGTTTGGAAGGGCTTATACATGCTTTGACTAGTTCCTGTATCATGCCCTCCTGGAGTGAGATCATATTAATTTCAATGGGTGGTACAAAGATGTTGCAAGTTTAAGCTGTTTTTTTTTGTTTATTTCTTTTAAGTATATATTAGAAATAATCAGTGATGTAGGTAATCTAGGATTGTGGGATACCACACTAGGAACTTTTGCTCTAATTCAATAATACTTGTCTCTATCTATGTAAATAACTCTTTCTGCTCCAGCAGCAAGAAATCATACATCGGAACACTGAAATGAGCCAGAAGAGTGTTAAAGGACATCACCACTTGCTTCTTTTTTTTTTAAATTCCATTTTTAAAACTGTCCTTTGCTTACATTTCCGTAATCTAATGTGTATTGCACATGTTTATAGCTTTCTGTTGGGACATCATGAATGTACCTTACATTACTATGCACTACTACACATTTAAATTGCATCAATTTTACTAACCTAATACACGTTAAAGTAACATCATTCTTACTGCCTTACTACACATTAAAGTTGCATCAGTCTCACTAACCTACTACATGCTACAGTTACATCAGTCTTAATAACCTACTATATATTATAAGTCAGATCATTCTTATTAGCATGCTACATGTTAAAGTCACATCAGTCTTACTAACCTACTATATATTATAAGTCACACCATTCTTATTAACATACTACATGTTAACATCAGTTTTACTAACCTACTACATGCTACAGTTACATCAGTCTTAATAACCTACTACATATTAAAGTCACACCATTCTTATTAACATACTACATGTTAACATCAGTCTTACTAACCTACTACATGCTAAAATTACATCAGTCTAACCACTGGAATAGAACTGTGGTTATTTTCTTTAAATTTCAAAACTTAAACCAACTGATAATTTCTAGTTACTTTGTCTGTATCTTTCCTGTTGGTGAACAAACTCATGGCTCTCCACCTTATGTTTCTGTTTTTATGTTTTTATCATCAGGTCTTATCAACTAACCTCTTCCTGACAACACTTCTTCATAAACATAAGGTGAAGAATCATGAGTAAAGGCAATATTCCATGAGTAAGGGCAATATTCCATGACATAAGGTGAAGAAGCATGAGTAAAGGCAATATTCCATGACATTGAAATAAATCTGAAAGGAAAATGCCACAGAATTAATGGCAGGTGACTCAACATGAATGGCTTGAATACACTGATCACTCAGCTCTGACAAAGCAGCCACAAGATCCTCCTGTACACCCAAAGTCAAATGTGAAAACATTACCCCAACTGAAGGAGCTGAAGTATTAACAGCAGGGTCTGAATTCATACTGAACAGAACAAATTATGTTAATTCCACAACTGTCAGTAAGAAACTTTGGCTTTGGGCTTGAAGGTACAACTTAAGTTTTAAATAAGTCAAGTGAAGATTGGAAATGTTAGGACTACTGGTAAGTATGATGAAAGTGTTTTATCAAAGATACACAGAAATTTAGGTCATGTGATAGTAAGAGAGCAGGTACTACTGCTCCTTGGTGAAATTACTGTAGCCGGTTTTTAAGTTTAGAAATTCCATCTTGTTCACTGCTGCAGTACCAATGTCTCAGTAGACTGGATCGTAGAGGAAATAAGAAGAGTAGCAACAATGTTTGAACAAATAAAAGTATAAAAGTTATTAAGAAACAGCTTTAATTTTTTTCCTTACTCAGTGTATTCAGCTTACTCTATGAAGAAAGTTATTGTAAAAAAAAACAGTGTATAATGCTTTGAAGCAGATTTTATGAACAGCTTAATTTTCTGGTATAAAACAAGGTGTAGAAGCCTTTCATGTTTGTTTTACTGCAACACTATCTGCATTCTGTTCATCATGGGGAATTGAACCCCAGATTTTAAGACTGTAAGTCCATAAACTTAATGTGACCCACTGGGGGACAGTTTTTTAGCATGTTTTACAAATACAGCTTTATTTTTCAGTAGAAAACAAGGTGGCCAGAGGAGTTTTTTCAAATGTATTTTACACACAATGTTTTATTTATCATTTGTCTATATATATGTATAATATCTATTGAATTCTTTGTACTGAAATAAGTCCTAAACCAAAATACTGATATGAAAAAGATGTTTGAGTATGAAAAGTCATCTTGTTATTTACAGGAACAAAGAATAATGATCTTTCTCTTAACCCTAAAAATAGTAACTTATTTCATACCTTGTAGCTAAGAGTTCATCATCATCCAATTCATCTCTTTCTCTTTTAAGCCTCACTTCTTTAGCTTTTTCAGGAACATTTGTCCTTGCTACCTAATATTTGAATATAAGAATGGTTAATATAACAGTAAAGACACATCCACAACATAAATGAGATCAGTATGGATGGTAAAGTTGTTGTTTTTATGATAGATAAGATATAGATACACAAAACTACAAAATGCAGTAAGCTCCAACTAAAATCAAATTCCTTATCCAAGTTAAATATAAACAGAAAAAAATGTTACTCTTTTGTACATACACTAAATTTTCTTGACTGCTACACAGTGTACTGTACACTGTCTTCCAAGACTGGTTACACAGTGTACTTTACACTGTCTTCCTAAACTGATTACACAGTGTACTTTACACTGTCTTCCTAGACTGGTTACACAGTGTACTTTACACTGTCTTCCTAGACTGGTTACACAGTGTACTGTGTACACTGTCTTCCTAGACTGGTTACACAGTGTACTGTACACTGTCTTCCTAGACTGGTTACACAGTGTACTTTACACTGTCTTCCTAGATTGGTTACACAGTTTACTTTACACTGTCTTCCTAGACTGGTTACACAGTGTACTTTACACTGTCTTCCTAGATTGGTTACACAGTTTACTGTTCACCTGTTTTTTTTGACTGGCTACACACTGTACTATAAACTGGCTTTTTAGACTGGTTACACAGTACTATACAATGGTTTTATAGGCTACATAGTGTACTATATAGTGGTTTTACAGGCTACACAGTGTACTGTTCACCTGTTTTTCTTGACTGACTACAGAGTGTACTATAAACTGGGTTACACAGTGCTATACAGTGGTTTTATAGGCTACACAGAGTATTGTTCACCTGTTTTTTTTTTACTGGTTACACAGTGTACTATAAACTGGGTTACACAGTGCTCTACAGTGGTTTTCCAGAATGACTAGACAGTGCTATAAACTGGTTTTTCAGAATAGCTACAATGTTGAACACTAACCTTCTACACTGGTTACACATGAAATATAGTTTTCTAGACTGGCTATATAGTGTTGTAAGAATGATTGTCTTGTTTAAATGAAACTAGGAAAATAAAACTATATTAAAAAGAATAAAAAAAAGCCATTATGAAAGATACCTCAAGTGTCATAAGTAAATGTCACATATAAAGTAAAAAACTTGGTACTTTTACTTCCTGTTGTACAAACCTGAAGAACTTCAAAACTACTACAATATAATAAAAATACAAACCTTTGTAACTACCCAATAAGTTATTTTTAGTACCAGTACAGAGCCAATAAAACAAAGATAATGGAAGTTGTATAAATGTGTTCACATTGTAACATGAAACATGTAAAATTTTACATGTTCTGCACCTCTTTTGAACATATAAACTGGTAAACCTTCAAGGTCTTCAACACATTTTTCAGAAAACTAACGAGTGTGAACAAAAGTATTAGATATTAATCTGTCAGATAACTTCTAAGAAATCAGCATACATTCTTCAACTAACAGAAATAATATTTAGTTTAACAGCTTCTAATACCTAATACCTTTATGAGTATATAAAATACCTTTTTTTAAACTAATGGAAGATACTTAAATTATCATAAGGTTACAAGATAAGATGAGGTTTGTATTATGATCTGATAGACAGCAATTGTACAAAACATTATGTAGTAAATAATAATAAAACTTTTTCATTATTTGTAAACTGTTTATTTTTTTCATTTTTGTGTTGCCTGTATGTGTGATCATTTCCTAATACTTGAAGCATCAATGAAAGTTAACCATGTGCTGTATCTACTTCTGGTCACACTTACAAGAACCTAAACCCCCTACTTTTGAAACACAAGTTATGGGACCTGAAAATAGTATACAATGAAAATACAGATCAAAAACGTTAAAAAATAATAACATAACAAAGTTATTTACTTTCTTTATATTGCACAGATTTTGATGACAACACATGTTGAGAAGACTTTTTTTAGATAAATCAAAACCATTTAGAACATTCTATACTTTTTTTCCAATTAAACAAAGTGACAGACTTCCTTTAGGACCTTTTAGCCTTCAGCCAGTGTTAAAAAACTATTAAATTTTTCTCTGATAAAGAACTATATATTATATAACCTAAGATGCAAAACTTACCAAAGGAATATTGTCATCATTTAAAGAACCTTCAGGTTCACGTTTGATTTTAATTTTTAAAGGAATCTCTTCTTTAACACTGTGAGAAGAGTATTCTTTTCTTTCATTGTGCACCACCTTTATTTTTAATTCTTCTTTTTTATCACTTCCAATTCTCCTTTTTTCAGCTTCTTTTAATAAATCTTTCTTCTCTTGATCTGATCTTTTCTTTAGCTTATTTTTCTCATAATTCTCCTTAATACCAATCTTTTCCTTCTCACTGTTTTCTTTGTTTCTTATCTTATTGCTTTCAGTTTTTAGTTTTTCAGCTAAAGAAGTGTGCTTTAACATTTCACTCAACTCTTTTGATTTGTACTCTTTAACTTTATCTTCTTCCTTTCTAGGTTTCATGTTATCTTTATCTTCCTTCAGCTTTACATCTTCTTTCCTAATGCTTCCATCAGTTTTTAAACTATCTTTTGATTTAAAATCCTTTTTTATGCTATTGCGGTGTTTTAAAGAAAAATCATTCTTACTGCCTGAATCTTTAAGTTTCAAACTTCCATCATTGGTTTTATGCACAGTTAACTTTTCTTGAGAATTTTCTTTCTGTTTGGAAGTGTTACTACTTTTTACAGATTTATCTTTTGAAAAGTCTTCCTTTGAGTTCGAAGAGTGGCTTGCATGACTTTTGTGGTTATGGTGTTTACTGGAAGAACCAATTTTCTGTGAGATATGGTCTTTTGTCTTACTAGATTTACTAGAACTAGATATTTTGGATTTTGTTTTGTGAGATTCATGACTAGATACATCATTTTGTAGACCATTTGTCACTGGTTTCTTCATTCTTCTTAATTCACCTATGTACAGAAAATAAAGCAATTGAAAACAGACATTAATGTACAATTTTTACAGAACATAAACTCATTAAAATTTTGATTGATAACACACGGTGCTATTGTAAGGTTCCAAATTGGACATATAAGAGGAATAGATTACCCCCTCCTATCACCATAAAAAAAAGCAACATTTGTTTTATTCAGCATTCCAGCTGCCTGATGCCCATTCCTAAACTTAGAAAAGTTAGAAATAAATAAAATCTCTTTGAAAATGTTTTTACTTTTGTCTGATAATTAAATGATAGTACTTACTTACTGCAGTGGAAAAACAAAACATAAAAAAATTGGTCCTTTCTTAAATAAAACTAGTTTATTCTTTCTCAATACAACTTTGCAATACACTTAATTTCCACAGACACTTTAACTTAAACACACGCTATAATTCACAACGATTCATGCACTTTACTTATGACTTGACTCGATTATCTGCCTCTATCTCTTCAATCTGCATTTATTCACGCCGTCAATTCTTTTGCTGGTTTATATATACAAAAATAGAGGGTGCATAGAGAAGACTATAGTTGCCACTAACAGACATGATCCTTCTTGAATCTCATGACGTGTTACTAGTGTCACGTGACCTCCGCTGTCGTAACAGTTTGTTTGTTTTTTGAATTTCGTGCAAAGCTATATGAGGGCTATCTGTGCTAGCCATCCGTAATTTAGCAATGACAGACTAGAGGAAAGGCAGCCAGTCAACACCACCCATCACCAACTCTTGAGCTACTCTTTTACCAACGAATAGTGAGATTGACCATCACTTT